TTTTTTTTAAGACCTTACATATTTAATACAGTGCGTTGCCTCTGTACACATGGAAAAAAATAAATTCAACATTTCTAGACCAATATGGCTGTTAATTTTTGTACAATGCCAACTCAACACGGTAAACTGGGATAGTGAGTTGAGCTTTTGATAGGCCATTTAGGAAGGATTTCATTGAGAAAGTCATATTTGAACACAAGACATAAAACAGGAGGTGGGGCTAGGGTTTTATGCACCTGTTTATTTACCTTACCCTTCTAGTTGCTTCCATGGAAAATTTTTTAATATGCTTGAAGCCTGTACTAGGAAACTGGTACTTCCAGAATGGGGTGAATGTTGAGGGAAAAGAGACAATTGGGTTCAGGAGTGTAGCTTAGTCCATAGAGAGCTCACCTAGCACACAGAAAATCTTGGGTCCAGTCCTCCTAGCATGGCATGAAATGAGCACCACTGACACATTCCTGTAATCCCAGCACTTGGGAGGTAAAGTCTGTAGGATCAGGAAACTATGGTTATATTTAAACCTCTCTGAAGACCAAATAAACCAAATGAAAAGCCAGACTGACCCTGACGTATTCAGGTAAGCTGGGAATAAGAAAGTGGCATTATTTGAATTACACATGTATTCTAAGTGTATATTCTTTGGTATTTACTTGATGAGAAGTAAACAGTTTTCTTATTCTTCCCTAAAGGAGCTTTACTGCATCACTCTATTTGTAGCACTGAGTTTTAGACACACATTGCACTACAAAGTAAAAGATGTAAAGCGGGGTTTCATTTCCCCACCATGCAGTCCATCCTCCAGTCCACCACCCTCTCATCGTTTAAGGTCCATATTTGCTCTTGATGCAAGTATTTTCTTATTGTGGAGGCAGCATTTAGGCATTGATTATGCTTTTTTTTTAATGTGGTACCAAGCACTCACAAATTCGCATGCCTTTCCTCATTAATTCTATGATAATTTAAAGGGACTTTTACAACATGTAAGGGACAGAGATCCCTCCAATCTGTATTTTCTTGAGAAAAAGAGTTTGCAACACATTACATGTGGATTACAAATAATGTGATTCTCTTAGTTCAGATGTCTGTCCTTCACTCTAGTCCTATTTCTTCTTCCCTACTCCTTCAACTTACCAGTACCCTAGGTGACTTTATAACTTTATTTCCTATTCATTAGTGTAAGTTCATATTAGAGTTTGACTCAGACTGATCCACAGTAGTATGTTCTCTAAACAGTAACAGTATAAAATACAAATAGCTTGATCTTACCATGTTGCCCAGGATAGCTTCAAAATCCAGGACATAAGGAATTTTCCTTTCTCAACCTCCTCAACAAATAAATGTACATCACTGTTGCCAGCTGTTTCTATATGTAGGTATTGGATGGCAGTTCTTAGTACATCAGAGCACCTACTTGATTTTTTGTTTTGTGCAACAATAGTTTCATAGGTTCTATTATTGACTCAAAATAAAAGCTGAAAATTGTTCACAAAAATAGTATTTAGAACTCAAAATACCATCAAGATTTTTAAGAGCAGAAAACTCTGGTCAAGACATGTTGTCTTACTTTTGCTATAGAGTCATATCATGCATATACAATCTATAGCAAACTACATTTTACTATAGAATGTTTTGTATGAATTACTTAAAGGGTTTTTAATAAGATGTTGGCACAATGCATTTCATATCTTTATTTGTTAACCATTATCTTTGCCCAAGAGGTGCTTAATAGTAAAAATGATACATTTTTTTCGGAGGTCATAAAACGTTTTTAGCAAACATTATTTATGTAATGTTTATTAAATTTATGTAATTTATTTAAAATAAAACACTAAGATTTTGTCAACGCATAATGTATATTACTTGAAATAAAGTCCTATGAACAACTAAAGGAACACATGTTAATAGTACCTAGGACTAACATGGAACCAGTAGCAATTAAGGATGAAGAAATTCAGTATGCTAACAATTATGAAGGGTCTACAGAGAATTTGGAGGGAATTTCTAAGTAAGAACTTCAACACATAAAGGTTCCACTGGTACAAAGTATGATAAAGACAACTTGATATAAAGAGGGGCACATGTTTCAGGGGTATCCTTAGGGTAGAACTGATGAAATATTTTGACACTACCTATAAGTGAAAGCACGGCCTATGAGAAATATTTCAGGTTCAGGGTTACCAAGATTCAGCTATAAGCAAATTATCAGGATGAAGAAAAGTTGGTCATTGAGTACTAAGTTACAGTTAGGAAGGAGAAACATTAAGTACTAAGATACAGCTAGGAAAGAATAAAAAAAAAAAGTTTAGGTGCTTTGTTATCTAGCACAGTGACAATCCTGTACTTTACATTTCAAAAAGCTAGCAGAATTTTGAATGTTTTTCACCAAAAAAGTAATTATTGGAGGAAACAGATATACCTCTATTGATTTGAGCAGAATGTATATATTCATTAAAACATCATTTGGTATTCTGAGCATGTATTGTACAATTTTTTATGTCATCTAACAAATAATTATTCTGTGCCAGAGAGATGGCTCGACCAGTAAAAGCACTTGGTGCACAAGCCTGATGACCTGAGGTGGGTCCCTGGAGCCTTCTTAGAAAGCCAGATACACATTCCTGTAAACTATTGGTTTACAGGAGAGATGGGAGGCAGAGATGGATAGTCCAGAAACTCAAAGACTACCCTGGAGTCAGCACACAAACAAGAGAGAACCTCCTTCAGAAACAAGGCAGAAGAGAATTCAATCCCTAAAGTGCACCTGGCATGTGTGTATGTACACACTTGCCCTCACACACATTTGAGCACACACAAAAAAAATTTACAAATTAACAGTTACCTTAATTCTAAAGAATATAGCATTTAGTATATTCTTTGAAGACTTTTAAAAGTATTTATTTTGGATCTCTTATAATACATTGCTATTATTTTGACCTTGTATTAGCTATGTTGACCTTAAAGTGTGCTAATGGCTTTTATATAAAAATGGTATTTTATAATCAAATAGCTTTTTGAAAATGATAGAATAATGTAGAACTTTAAAGTTGTACAAATGAGATTATATAGTATTTAATACATTTTATACATTGTGAACCCCCAGTTCATCACTGTAAGTTTGTTCAGAACTTAGTATTTTTATTTTTAAAAATTAAAATTGTATTTTAAATTTCATTCATGTTATTTTGCTTTTTTTTCCTTTCTGTATCACTGGTAAGGATTAATGTTTCCTGGAAAAAGCTTTAGAAAATGCTCATTTAAATTATTTACAAGCACCACTTCCTGAACATTACGCCAGTAGCACAGACACTGAGGTCAACAATTAATAAATGGAACCTCCTGAAACTGAGAAGCTTCTATAGGGCAAAGGACACAGTCAGTAAGACAAAACAACAGCCCACAGAATGGGAAAAGATCTTCACCAACTCTACATCTGACAGAGGATTGATCTCTAAAATATATAAAGAACTCAAACTGGACACCAAAACACAAAATAATCCAATTAAAAATGTGGGTACAGATGTAAATAAAGACTTCTTAATAGAGGAATCTCAAATGACCAAAAGCACTTAAGGAATTGCTCAACATCCTTAGCCATCAGGGAAATGCAAATCAAAATGACTCTGAGATACCATCTTTTATCTGTCAGAATGGCTAAAATCAAAAACACTAAAGAAAACTTATGCTGGAGAGAATGTGTAGTAAAGGGAACACTCCTCCATTCCTGGTGGGAGTGCAAACTTGTACACTCACTTTGGAAATCAGTATGGTGGTATCTCAGAAAATTGGGAATCCATTTACCTCAAGATCCAGCAATACCACTCCTGGGAATATACCCAAAGGACACACACTCATACCACAAGGACATCTGTACAACTATGTTCATAGCAGCATTATTTATAATAGCCAGAACCTGGAAGCAACCTAGATGCTCATCAACCGAAGAATGGATAAAGGAAATATGGTACATTTACACAATGGAGTACTACTCAGTGGCAAAAGAAAAAAATGACATTTTGAAATTCACATGCAAATGTATGAAACTAGAAGAAACCATCCTGAGTAAGGTAACCCAGACACAGAAAGACAAACACAGTATGTACTCACTCATAAGTGTGTATTAGGCACAAAGAAAAGGATAACCAGTCTGCAATCCGCAACCCCAAAGAAGCTAGGAAACAAGCAGACCCCTTATAGAGAAATACGTGGACCCCCCACCCCAGAAGGGGAAATGGACAAGATCTCCTGAGTAAATTGGGACCATGGGGGGAGGATGGAGGGATAGAGGAGAGAGAGGGCTTTGAAGTGGAGGGGGGAGGAGAACTTGAGGTAATAGGAAGGTCAAGTTGGGGGAAGGACACAGAGGAAGATCAAGGAAAGAGGTACGTTGATAGAGGGAGCCATTATGGGTTAATGAGAAACCTGGCACTAGGGAATCCACAAGGATGACCCCAATTAAGAAGAATCTAAGCCATAGTGTAGAGGGTGCCTTAAATTCCCTTCCGCTATAATGAGATTGATGAATACCTTAATTGCCATCATAGAGCCTTCATCCAATAGCTGATGAAAGCAAAAGCAAAGATCTACAGCTAAGCACGGGGATAAACTCCTGGAGTCCAGCTGTAGAGAGGGAGGAGTGATGAGCAAAGGGTTCAAGGCCATGCTGGATAAACCCACAGAGACAGCTGATCTGAGCAACTGGGAGCTCATTGACTCCAGACTGACAGCTGGGGAACCAGCATAAGACTGAACCAGACCCATGAATGTAGGTGTCAGTTGGGGGACTTGGGCAATCTATGAGGCCTCTGGCAGTGGAACCAATATTTATCTCTAGTGAATGAACTGGCTTTTTGGGGCCCATTCCCTATGGAGGGATACCTTGCTGAAACTAGACACAGTGGGGAGGATCTCTGCTCCTGCTCCAAATGATGATACAGACTTGGATGATTCCCCATTGGAGTCCTCACCCTCCTTGAGGAGTGGATGGGGGTTTGGCGGTGAAATGGGAGGATGGGAGGGAATTGGGATTGATATGTAAAATAAGATTGTTTTAAAAAATAAAAAATAAACATTAAAAGCATTTGCATACATATTTGGCTAAAAAGATTCATAAAGACAAGCCTACAGTTGTGGGGTTAGATGCAAATGTACTCTAGGTGCTCATTGGCCAGACTCCTTTGCCTCTGTTGCTAGTAGTTAGGAAGCAATGATGGAAGCACAACATAAAAGCACAACATAATTTGTTAAGCATTTAGTACACATGTTGAATGAACTGTTAGAGCAAGAATTTTGCCTACACTTCAAGTCTTTCATGAATAAATGAGTAAAAATCTAGGAAGGAATTTTTAATAGCTTTCAATAAGCATTTGAAATATTTTCCTTTATTTTGCCACAATCAGAATATTTTTCAGTACTGATAAGGAGCATTACAGATGTTTTGCGGGCGTAGAGTTTACCTTTAGGTGCAAATGGCTTACACTTTCTACCAGTTCTTCAAGGTAGAGGACTGCTATTTTATCGTGGAAACGTAACCCACTTAGCAAAGTTCGATAAAGGGAATAAATTTCTTAAAGTATCATTTGCTCCTGACAACTTGAGAGAACTGTTTTTGTTTTTGTTTTTTTTTTAATGAGAAACAGTGGTTGTGAAACAAACTTTAAACAATTAATTCTTCTCTTAAAACTATGCTAATGCCAGCTATCTGTACCATTGAGGATGAACTCCATATGGGTTGGGGAAGAGGAGGAGCAAGAAGCCGTTGTCACCCCACATGGAATGTCAATGGAGTGGGTGGAGATCACATACAAACATCTAACATATAGCTACATGCTGAAGTGGCTGATCAGAGCAGCAGAATGTGAGCTCAGCCCAGGCAAACTGTCATCTCAGAAATTTGGCCTCTGCAGGGTAGTGTTCCTCTCCCTTACAACTGAATGACGACTGCAGACCACGAAAGTATTTAAACAGTTATATACATAGGATATACATGGGTGTCTTTGAAACGGCAGAAATTTAACGAAACAAAAATATTGTTCCTAGCTGAGCATGTCGGCTCATGTCTGCAATCCCAGAACTTGGGAAGCTGAGGCAGGAGCATTAGAAGTCCAAGGCTCGCCTTAGGTACAAATGAGGCACTATTGTAAAACAAGAAATTGCTGTTTCTTCTATTAACATAGTTGTAGGGACTCAGTCTTTGGTCTATTCTTAGGACTAATGTGTTACAGGATAGGTGTTGAATGAAAGTAGGATCAAATGGCAGTGCAGCAGTGAACACTCGAGATTAAGTGAGCCTGACAGTGTCAACACATAGGTCATTTATTTTAAAAAGAGAAACTATTCAAAGTAGGAGATTGATAGTACTGTATGAAAATATCTTATATATAGATAATGTCAAAATTAAATATATACATTAATTAAAAGTCTAACATATATTATTATCTTCAAAATATACTTCCCAAATTGAAAATTCAGTTACAGAAGCCTTAGTATACATAAATGGCAATAGTGACTGAATACTAAGTTTCAGTGTCTTTGGACTAAGTGAATTTCTATCTTTAAAAATTCTTTTATTTAAAAAGATGTGCTATGCTCTTTACTGAAGATACGTGTTATACATTCATGTTGAACTACATTTCTTGATATCTGTCTTAAGTGCCTTAAGCTTTTCTTGCTGCCACTGCTTTGAGATATGACTAGTTTTCATGAACAATATCCATCACTGTGAGTCCCCCTCCCCCAGCATCTCTAGCTTACAAGATGACAGTTTCACTCTTCATTTGATTCATAGATGCACAGTGGGCCAGAACATCATTTTTCTTTTAAAACAATGGTGACTTCGAATACTTGTAGGCTTTGTTTTTGTGGATTTGATATCTTCTGAAAAATGTGTGAAGGTTTAAAAAGTATTGCAGATGACATGATTGCTTTACAACGTCAGTACAGATAATATCTGTCCATATGTATAATTCTTACTGCAGTAATCAGTTGCATTGCTTGTGTCCATTTCTAGTACCTCATTGTGGTTTTCCCAGTTGCTCTGGTCATTTGACCAGGAGGTATCCAACAACTTCTGGAAGGATTTCAGCTCCTCAAAATGTATAAACGGGTAGGTACTTGGAGGTTGCAAATAACATATCCTATGTTTATATACTGCCCTTCAAAATTTTATTCCAACAAGTTTTTATCTCTCTCAGTAGTCTCTTTAGGAAACATGGATCATTCTTTTTCTGTTCCTTTAAATTCTTTTCTTCCTAGAGAAATAAATTCATAAGATTCAGTTTAACATCTTAATAAAATGTGTCTCAAAATATTTGTTTTTAAATTTTCATCATATTAGATGAAGTCTAATATTTAGTATACAAGAATAACAACTCATGCATAACATCTTAAAAATATGACATATGTTGATAATTACAATTTCTGACTGACAGGAAAACCCAGTCTACTGATGCTGAATGTTTCATCTGTCATTTTCACTTTGCGTCAGTGGACACAAGAGCCTAAAATTTCACAAAAGATAAATTATTTATGTAACTTAATTGAACTTTTTATATGAAAAAATTTAGTGAAAGGATTTAATACCAAAAATATTTAGATTAATGACAACTTACCTGATTCAACTTGTACCTTATAGTCTGTTGCAAACACTTAGTGTTTACTGAAGTATGGCTGGCATCTGCCTCATAAGTTGATTTTTCTCACCACAGTAAGAGTTTTTAAATGCTACCAGTACAGTATATAGAGAAAATGGAGAGAGATGCCTCCATACAGCAGATACTGGAGGGCGATGGCCATATTTCTTCTGACCCATGTGACATGGTAGAATGATTCTTCATTTAGTGAAGAACCAGTTATTGAATATTTCCTAGGTGAGATATTATGCTCAGTAATCCACGTATTTTACTTTATCCTGGTTACTCGGTATCCCAATGGACTTGATAATTTCACCTCTGTCTAAAAATGAGGATACTAAAGCCACAAAGAGGCAGAAAACAGTGTTGTGACACAGTTGTAATTTTTTCCCCTGTTTTTGGCTTTTTGAGACAAGGTTTCTCTGTGTAACAGTTCTGGTTGTGCTCTAACTCACTGAGATCCGACTGCTTCTGCCTTTCCGGTGCTGAATTAAGGGTGTGTGCCACCAGCAGCTGGCCTGATCTCTTTTTAATTCAGTCACAAATTCATATCTTTATTAGTTATATCCTTAAGTAATGCCCCAGCATGTAGATTTTAAATAACTTTAAAGAGCAGATGACAGATTTTGAAGATAGATAATGGGAAAATTTTCATTAATCTTTTTAGAACATTTTTAATGTTCATTTCACTAAGTTACTATACTTGGATAGGAGAAATGTAATTTGTACTTCCATGGTGTTAATGTTGGTATAGTATGTATTCATAGGTTCTACATCTTTGGATTTAATCAACTGCAATTTGAATATACTTAAAGAATATGGGTGAACTGCACTGAACATGTGTGGACTCTTTTCTTGTCATAGTTTTTTAAGCTACACATCATAACAACTAAATATTAATCATTTACATTGCTGTGGGCATTTTAAGAAGCCTACATGCAATTAGAGTATATAGGAAGATATTATTGGTTATATACAGAAACTCCATCATTTTCTGTTGGAAATGTGAGCATTGACAGAATTTTGTGTGTGAGGAGATGTCCCAACTGTTCATCTGAATAGTGATGTACAACAAAACATAACATGGAAAAAGTAGACGGGAAAGAAACCTTGCTTTTCTCTCTGAGATTCTGGAGATTAAAATATTCTAAACTTTTCAAATTCTGAGTCATGGGCCCTTGACATTTTTATCCTACTTCTAACTCATGTATTTGTGTACTTTGAATTTTATACTTTGAGTTGGAATGCCTAGGACTTCCTAACGGCCAGTGTATGCAAACTCACCTACTGCCTAACAAAGAATCTCTATGCTCCCATGTATGTGGTGCTCAAACAACAGTAATGGAAATGTAAGAAAGAATCCATCATCCATGAGCCAGCATGCTCACTGTTCAATGTCCCAGACTGGTTAGTCTTTTAAAGCAGATTCAAAAGGGTTTTCTGTTTTTATAACCAGAGCAAGAGGAGCATTCTAAAGGCACAGGCTTCCTTAGGAGTGGGGATAATACAGCTCTACTGAAAGTGATCAGCAGCACTTAGAGTTGTGTGACGACAGAGGTGACCACTGGAGAATGATAGCTTTCTAAACAGGAGTGATGTTCACAGTAAACAGCCCATGCTTACCTTGTTTGTGCAGTTCACCAGCGTCTGTGTGCCTTGGGAAACTGTTAGCAAGTGGATATTGAATTCTTCACTGATATTCATTTTAAGAAATTGCTTCAACTTGCGAGCAGCACGGTTTAAAAAAGCAGCTTCCTAACAAGAAAAGAAATCAAAAGGGCCGTGATAAGAAATTTTAGTTACTCACTTAACATAAAGCTAGAGCCCTGTCACTTAGTGAAACCCCACCTCCACCCCAGCTTTCTATTCTGGTTAATCACATGACTGACGAGTAACAGGAATGAAAGTGTTTGGCTCTGAGTATACAGAGAACATGAAATGCCTAGAGCTTGTTTAATGATTATCTGGCTTTCAAATAGTCTTTTCTCACTATGTGTGTGTGGCTTTATCGTTTGTGAGGGAACATGTTACAAGACTATATACTTTTAACAGGAAACCAAAGAAGAAGGCTGCTGGAAATACAAGTGGGGAAAGGTAGGTGCGATTTTGCAACCATTTCTGAAATTTAGTGTCTGGAAGAGCAGATGATAGTAAAATAAAATAAAATAAGAAAATGAAGAGGCATGCAACCTAAGACATAACACTCTTTAGGTAAATTGGTTAATAAATAAAAAGAACTTATGGTTTCCTGATACTGTAATATTAATATCTATGTGAATTGTAGAAAAACGATTTAAAGAGCATCTCTGTCTCTTTGGGGGAAAATTACAAACTTTTGGAAATTTTTTTTCCATTATAATTGACCAACTAGAGTTGATTTGGGCATAAACTTCAACAAATACTAAAAAAAAAATTCAAACTGTCTAAAACTATATGGTGTGTGTGTGTGTGTGTGTGTGTGTGTGTGTGTGTGTGTACATGTGCAATCATTTTTTTTGCAGATGTCTTTTATTTGAATTAGAAACAAGATTGTTTTACATGTCAATCCCAGTTCCCTCTCCCTCCCCTCTTTCCCTACCATCCCCCCCAACTAAAACCCTACCTATCACCCTACCTGCTAACCCTGGAGGGTGAGGCCTTCCATAGGGTGTCATAAGAGTCTATTGTATCCTTTGGGGTAGGGCCTACACCCACCCCCGTGTGGCTCAGGGAGTATACCTCTATGTGGAATGAGCTCCCAAAGTCCACACCTATGCTAGGGATAAATACTGAACTACTACAGGAGGTCCTGTAGATTTCTGAGGTTTCCTCACTGAAACCCATGTTCCTGGGGTCTGGAACAGTCCCAAACTGGTATCCCAGCTATCAGTCTGGGGACCAAGAGCTCCCCAATGTTCAGGTCAGCTGTTTCTGTGGGTTTATGTGCAATCATTTGTAACAAGACCTTTCCTTCACAAGAGTTTTTTTGTGGGGGAGGGGAAAGATATTTGTGCCTTTATATTCATAGTATTTAGTATTTTCAAGGTGAAAGACAGGAAAGTAGAAGAACACATTATCTACTTTTTAATCTACTGAGAACAGGATATCTGTAAAACTGACATATAACAGGCCACAGTATAATATAATAGATGAATGATAATCCTATCATTAAGATAAAAAGATTATGGCATTAATTTAATTAGCTAACAAGTTTGTATAAAATCAAGCTCATATGATAAATTCCCAATTATCATTACCTTTGCATCATCACATGGATGTTTTTTAAAAAAGTTTGGTTCATTATTTGGGCAATTGCTTACAGTTCCAGTCATTTTGTCCTGTAATAAATAATATGAAACAATATGGTTAATGCTGAGAATCTCTATAATGTGTAGTTATAAAATAACATTTTTATAATATGAACACTTTAAGGAAAGTAAATTAGCCTGATTTCACTGAGTAAGCATCAAGAATAGTTTTCCTTACATGAAAAATAAGGAAATGTGTACAATATCACCTCAAATATGATTCAGGATCTTTTAAGGACAAGTTGGACTAGCTCTGTTCAACAAACTAGCAATTCCAGGATTTCCTGCTTCTCAAAGACTTCAGGCAATCCTAGTCTGATTGATATTGTAAAAGCAATAAGTACAGCAAGAGCAAGATTAGTAAAGGGCTTATCTGCCACCCAGGAAAATGTGCATTGTTCTTATTGCTCATACAAAGGCTGAGTGTTTTCCTGACTTTAAAATACATGTTTAAAATACTATTTTACCTGGAGGAAAATTATTTGCTCCAACACATAATTGTTTAAAGATTCAACACTCACTGATGGCTGTTGTTCAAAGTTTTCTGCAAAACCCCATATGGAAGCCAATTTAAGAGAATAGTGACCTAGTTTCATGTGGCATTTGGTACATGGGTCACTGAATTTCTTTAAGCAAGGTAACTTCTTGCCTTTGGAAAAGCATGCTTTTGGGGATGTGTCTGTACCAGCTACGCAGTATGTAGTTCATACTCTAAACATCACAGTTGTAAGACATATATTTCCTAAAACTATCATATTATATCTAAAAGTAGTAAAAAATTATTTGTCTACTAAGTAATTTTCTATCTCAAGAATTGCATCAAATTGTATATACATTTTTTTTGGTTAAAAATACAAAATCACATATGAAATTTGATACAAAATTAAATTCTTAGAGAATTATAGCAAATTTCATAATAATATTTGAGACTCCTTTTTAGTTAGGCCAATGCTCTGAAACACTAAATACAATTCAGTTTCATATGCTGTAGAGAGAGAATGTTGTACTGACTGACTTGCTTGCCAGGTGTTTGATCAAGAATTAACTGTGATGGCACTACACTTTTAACATGGGCATAGAAGATGTCAGAGTTGCCTTCTGAAGTTACTACACAATCTTATCAAGAGCAACTCTGAGTATGAATTCATAGGGAAAGAAAATAGTTCCTATCTTGTGATTTAGCAAATACCAACTAATAGATTCTCATTGGTTCATTTAAACATTATTCACAGTTTATTATAAATCAAGAAAAACCACAATAGAAGAGTCAAAACATTGTGAGCTATGGATTGAATTTTTTCCTAGAAAAAGTCTTCGGTTTCATTAGGTTGTGCCTTTTTGTTTTATTTCTATTGTCTTAATTACTGTTCTGTTGCTCTGAAGAGATGCCACGATCAAGACAACTCATATAAAGTAAATATTTAACTAGTGGGTGGGCTTGTTTAAAGTTTTAGAGGTTTAGTCGATGACCATCATGGGAGGAATCAGACAAACATGGCACTGGAGTGGTAGCCTAGAGATCTACATCCTGATTCACAGGCAGCAGCTAGGTCTGACATGCTTCTTGAAACCCCCACGCTCTCCCTTCCCCCTCCAATACAGCCACAGCTCCTAATCCTTCCCAAATAGTTCTATCTACTGAGAACTAACCATTCAAACACATGAGCCCATAGGGGCCATACTCATTCAAACTACCATATTCCACTCCCTGGTCCCATAGCCTTGTAATCATATCAGAATATAAAGTGCACACAGTCCAACTTCAAAAATCCCCAAAGTTTTTCAGTCTCCATGTTTAAAATCCAAACTCCTGAGACTCATTGAGATTTAAGGCAATCCCTTCATTGTAACACCCTGTAAAAGCAAAACCCAAAATATCTATCACATACTTCTAAATACATTGCCACAAAATATATATTACCATTCCAAAAGGGAAGAATGGGAAGATATTAATGAAACCCTGGGCCAAAGCAAGACCCAGCAGGTCAAATTCCAAATTCTGTATCTCTCTGCCCAATGTCTAAGGGCTGAGTAGATAACGCTTCATATCTCCTACACCTTCCAGCTTTGCTGACTGAAACACACTTATCTTTCTTGGGCTGGTTCCACAACCTGTGTAGCTTCTCTTTTTGTCAAGTATCCTAGGCTGTAGCTTCTCCAGCATCTTGGGATCTCTATCACAATTCAGGCTTCACCATCACAGCTTTACACAACGGCGTCTCTGGGCCTCTGTGCGTGGCCACATGCCTCACCTCAAAAGCTTTTCTTAACTATGGCGGGAGATTCCATAATCCCTTTCCTGTATTTTTTGTGACCCCCAAACCAGGAGAACTACTGCATGCTGGAGTTGGAATCTGACTCTAAAGTCAGAAGTTCTGCTTGTTGGAGTTGGAACTTGGCCCTTCCTTGAACTACATTTGCATATGCCTTCCATTGTTGTTTAGGTCAAAGAAATCCTTTATACCTTTCATTTCACAGGCTGCAGGATTAGCTGGGAGGGGTCTTGCCCAGAGGTTACCTCTTCCATTTATTCCTTGCAACATCAGGCCTTTAAGGTTCTCATCTTCTTCAGCTCCAACACTAAATTTTTTGGTCCCTTTTTTCTCCTCAAACTGTGCCACTTGGCACAATTGATATGACAATCTCTTGAAATCTCCTCTGACAGTGATATTAACACAAAATTCTTCAATTTATCCTCAGGTGGATTTTTTAGCAAGGGCAGAAAACATCCACATTCTTTGCCAAAATACCACAAGAATGGTTTCTAGTGCTGTTGATATTGTTCTCCTCGGAAACCTCTTGAGCAATGTCTGCAGAGTCCAAATTGTCCTCAGAATTACTGTCTTCTGTGCTTCTACTAAGATGGTCCATTAAACTCCACTTAGATAGTCAACTGAGTTTTCTTGTTCAGAGTGTCAATGTCATCCATATTCTTCCAAACGACAGCATGGTCATGCCTGCTATACCTTTATTTCCAAACACTAATCTTAGGACATACCTTCTTCTATAGCACTCTTGCTGGTTTCGAACTCACAGAGATCTGCCTGCCTCTGCCTCCTGAGTGCTGGGATTAAATGTGTGCTCCACCAACACCCGGCTCTATAGACTCTTGAAGTACATTGATCCTCTAGTTATTTTGCTTTATGTGTGTTCTTCTACACAATATTACATATGATTACTTAATGAGACACTAACTTCCAATTTATATTTTAGCCTTTATTTCCCCCTGACAACCCAAAGAATTCATTTTTCTAATTTTTACTTTTCTAATATTATATTAATCTTGGCTCCTTTTATGTTAGTTTCTTAAAAATGTTAAGAAAAATTGTTAGTGTTTTCTACTGTAATTATGTGCAATCTATTTATTTGTTTAGTGTATGCAGGTAAAAGTACAGGTATATATACACTTACAACAGCATGTGTGGAAGAAGGATGACAACTGTTGAGAATTCTTGTCACCTTGTGAGACACAGAGATTGAACTCATTTCTGTAGGCCTACAACACAAGTACATTTACCCACTAAGCCATCTCATTGGCCCTAATCTTTTTACTTAAATTCTTCCATTTTACTTTGCTTATATATTGTGCTTGCTTCTTCATTTTTGTTAGAACCAATAGATAGTACTTCTGTCTTTCTAACTGGAAGCTAAAACTGTTTAGATTATTGTTCAGCTAATACATAGCAGTGCCTCACACCTCATGGCTGCTTTAGCAAATTACCCAAAACTTGGTGGTTCAAAAAAATAGAAATGCATTCTGTTACATTCCTAGAGATCACATATTAAAAGTCAAAGTATTGATTGGACGTCCTAAAGGAGGATCCATAATCTGGGTCCTCTATCTACTGCTGGCTGCCAGAATTTCTAGTGTTCCTGGCTTATGCACATCACCATATTTTACCATGGTGTGTGTCTCTGGTCTCTCAGAGTTCTGTCTTACAAGGACATTTGCAATAGCAGAGCTCTTCTGGGTTGTCCAGTATAATTTTCCTATGTCAAAACTTTGGTTTAATCATATTCTCAAAGATTTCTTTATCATAAATTTCCAGGGACTAGAATTTAGTATGTTTGAATGACATAATTTAACTTATTGCAGAGAAGTTTGCTTTTCTGTCCATAAATATTGGATTTGAGCTAAAGACTGACTGTTTAGTTGTGTACATGAACAGATTATACATGAGCACACTTCACTCTCAAAAAATTGGCTCCTTCTGATGTTTCTGTGTAGGGACAAGCATCAAGAAGCAGCTCATTCATTATTGCTGCATAATAAATTTCAGTTAAGGTAGCATATATAATAAAAACTTATTCTTTGTAGTTTCTGAAGGTTAGAATTTGGGAAAGGCTTCCGGATCCACATCTGCCATGAAACACAGTTAAGACGTCGGCATTGTCTGTAGCCATCTGGTTTTGACTAAAACATGGGTATTTACTCTCAAGGTGCCTCACTAGTTTACCACAGGAGCATTTCTTCAGGTTATTTTGAGTCCTTAAACATATTGTTTGGATTTCCTTCAGTGTTCAACACCCAAAAGAAAGAGATTTTCTATCTTTTCTGATTCAGTTTTAGACACACACTGTCTCTTCCACATTATTTCATTGGCTCAAATGGAAACATTAATTCTATTCTACCTTCAAGCGGGAAGAATTAAACTCTACTTCAAAAGAGGTTTCAAAGATTTTGTAGTCATATATATAAAAAAAAAACAACCGTATTCTTCTATGTCATGACTCAGAATGAATTATTTGGAAATCACAGTGTACATCTCTGAATGTGAGAAATATATGCTATATGTTATTGTTATAGTAAAATTTACTGTTAGAGATCAGTTCACTGACCAAAAATAAGGGAGATTAAAGATAAAAGTAGTCAACAGGCAGCTGTTTTGTCACCCAATTGTTCTAGTTTCCACTATAGAATAGTTCATTTGGGTTTTCTTTATGGAAGAGAATTTCAGTAGAGATCTCACTCACTCTTCATGGTCACATGAACTTTGACCAAACTTTGTATGCATTTGTTGCACTCATTG